GGGTGGAGGGATAGTAGGGTGGGTGGTAACGGAAAAACTGAAATTTGAAAAAAAAAAAAACTTTGGAGAGAGGGATGGGGTGGGTTGGTGAGGGCAAGGAAGGTTGAGAAGGAGTTTTGGAAATATTTTCCCTTCTCTTGATAAGGAAACTATTTTCCTCCAATTGGAGGAAAATGAGTTCATAAGGAAAATGTTTTCCAAAACATTTAAGCCAACCAAACATGAAAAAATTGAAAATATTTTTCGGAAAATGTTTTCCTTCATATCAAACACACCCTAAATGCCGCATATTTGTGTAAAGATTCCATTTTTTATATCCAATATGATCTCAAGTCAAAAGAGTTTTGTGGTATTTTTGGAAATCTGTATTGTTAGCGGAGGTTGATATAAAAATTGCATATTATATTCTCAACTAAGGTTTATTTGGGAGGTTGTGAATTTGTATTGGCTTTAATTTATTTCATCTTAATAGAATTTTCTCTCTTTCTTGCTCGATAATATATGTATATATAATATATCAGTCGAATCTTGTAAATCTTGTGTTCATCTTATTTTTTCTTCTCTGCATTCTGTGGTTGAATTTATGTCTTTTATCAACAAATATTCATGGTACGATTTTTCTATCTATTATCTATTATATATAGAGGAAACGTTCAATACAATTGTTTTTTTTTTTTTTTTTCATCTAGATATTTAATAATTTATTTATTTTCCCTTATGCAGGCAGCACTACCCCAATCCATTACCTCCTTCATATTTGCCAAAGAATATGGTTTACATGCAGAAGTTCTTAGCACTGCGTAAGTAGACAACCCCATCACCTTGTTCCACAGTTACATTAAATAAAGATTGTTAGACATAGCTAACTTATTAACTAATTGATAATTATTTTATTTTGCTTTCGAACTAATTGATAATTAATAAAACTAATAGGTAACTGATATTTAATGGAGTACCACTTACTTAAAAAATGAGGATTATTGATTATTTCTCCAACCTAAAAAGGTCATTAATTTTTATTATTTACAATATTATAATCAATTTTGATTTTTTTATTTATTGAATTTCAGAGTAATCTTTGGCATGCTGGTGTCCCTTCCGGTATTGGTTGGCTATTACGCTATCTTGGAATTCCTACACTAATTATATTCCTCATCACCAAAGAAATTAGTTGTTACAAAGAACCACAATTAATTTTGTCGCATTTGGAGAGCATCCAATATTACTTATAGATGAGTTTGTTACTAAGTTATTATTTAATCCAAGCTTAAACTTGTTATTATGTGTAAACCTTGAAAAATGAAAAAGACATACATATTATATTGTGGCGTAGATAATAATGACCTTTTTTTGTTTTGTTTAAGATCCCTTTTCTACTAGTTTACCAAGGGAGGAGAAAGCTCCGGTCGTTGGATTAAATTAAAAAAATAAAAAAAATTGCTCATTCCAATTTACTTTCTAGTTACCACTTGCAAGTTACAACTTCATAAGTCACATCAATTGAGCTAATAATAAACGGAAAAGGGTTCAAAATACCCCTAAATTATTCGAAAAGGTTTAAAAAAAATACCCTTCATCCACTTATTGGGCTAAAAATACCCCTTCATTCACCTTTTTGGTTCACTTATGCCCTTTGACCGTTAGGTCAATGCTGAATTAAAAATAATTATTATTTCTTTTTGTAAAACTTAAAAAAAATTACAAAATATTTTCGTTTTTTAAACTAATGCACCAGTAGTCCACTAATTTGGTAAAGTCTTCTTCTTTTTTCTTTTTTTTCAGTTTTTACAAAAAAAAGAAAAAAACTTTTTTCATTTTTCAGTTTTTTTAAAGCATTTTTATTGTGAAAACTCAAAAAAAATTGTAAAAACAGAAAAAATGTTTTTAATAAAATATTTTCGTTTATTGGAGGGGAGGTTGCAACTCTTTTCTTAGTGAATAAATTAGTATTCGGTGAACTTAATTAGAGAATACCAACTAATCACAAATTAAATAATTAACTGGTTGAGTGTTGTTATATATACTAGTGTTAGAACCCGCGCGATGCGCGAATAATTTGACGGAATATTAATCTTATAAATTATGATCTAATATATCATATTAATTTAATAAACAATAGTTACTATTTTATTATTTAATGTATCATAATTAATTTAATAAAAATAATTACTATTTATTATTAATTAAAGTACATATAATAAAATCTATACAAAATCAAAGAATACAAAGCATTATAGTAATCAAAAAATTGTTTATTCCTTGTTTATTCTTTATTAAATTAGCAAGTACTTAGTACTATACATTTACTAATGTGAATTTTTATTAATTTGTCAATTGGTTTAACATTTTGATACTACTTCTCTTCTAGTAGAACATATACGTATATCTTATTCTGGAAATATATATTTTTATACTTATGTTATACTGTTTAAAATTCTTCAATTGTCTAAATTTATCAATAATTTTCTTGAGTGTTATTATTTATATTTTGTTTATTAATTAATTCAAAATATAATATTATAAAATTATCTTATGCACCTCTTTTCGTACATTCATTTCTACTAAATATTTGATTAGTTTTTCTCATTTTATATTTACTGAAAATTTAAATAATATCATTTTTTTTACTAAATTATAATTTTGAATATCATCAAAAGTATAAAGAGATAAGCCTTTTTTATTTTTTATAAAAAACATACTAATATTTTAAAAATTAATAAAATGTGTTTTATATATAATATATTATCTTATGTATAATATCATAATAGTTTCTTTATATTTTTGTATGTTTCATTATGAAATTATGAGTTGTATTTATTAACTAAATTTTCCTAGATGAGAACTTAATTGGTATATGTAGTTTTGCGATATCATTTGATTTGTTTATTTTTTAGTATTCTTCATTTATGACTATTTGTTTATTATATATATATTTGTTTCTTGGTTATCTAATTGTATTATCCATTACTTAATATTGTTAAATTGACATATGAATTATTAATAAATTATCGATCTAGTATAATAACTACTCCCATATATATATATATATACACACACACGCACACTATTATTACTATATTAGGAAGAAATTACTCTCCAATTTGAATTGGTAGTTTTTTATTTTTTTTTTTTTGTTTCTTTATTGAACATAATTTTAAAACTCCAATTTATGAGTAGAATATTTTTTTGTATTTTCGTTTTTTATTGATAATTATAAGAATCTTATGTTTATTAATTCAAGTAGTGTAACCATTAATTCAAAAAAAAAAAGTTAAAAAGTAGTTATGTCTTAACAATGCCACTTGGCTTTTGTGGTTAAGACACTTGTCTTATTATAGTGCTTTTGCTCTCTATTCTATATAGATAGATATTACAATTTAGTATAATTGTATTGTTAATAGAAGTTTTATTAGCATATTAGTTTGTTTTAATATTTTTTCCACTACTTTCTTATATATATATATATATATATATATATATATATATATATATATATATATATATATATATATATATAATATATTATATTATAACTACTCCCATATATATTATACACACACACACTACTACACTATATTAGGAAGAAATTACTCTCCGATTTAAATTGGTAGTTTTTATTTTTTGTTTTTGTTTTTTATTGTAAAATAATTTAAAACTACAATTTGAATGAGTAGAATTTTTTGTATTTCTTTTTTATTATAATTATAAGATATCTATGTTTATTAATTCAAGTAGTGTAACCAATTAATTCAAAAAAAAATAAATAGTTAGAAAAGTAGTTTATTTTGTCTTAACATGCCACTGGCTTTTTGTGGTTAAGACACTTGTCTTATTTATAGTGCTTTTGCTTCCCTATTCTATATAGATAGATATTATCCAATATTAGTATAATGTATGTTAATAGAAGTTTTATTAGCATATAGTTTGTTTAATATTTTGTCTACTGCTTTCTTTATATAATATAATTGACTCTCTCTCTCTCTCTCTCTCTCTCTATATAATATATATATATATATATATATATATATAATATATATATATATATATATATATATGTCACGACCCCAATCCCGGTCGTGATGGCGCCCAACACTAATGCTAGGCAAGCCCGACCAACTTAAATACTCTCAACCCAGATACACAATCCGTTAACAAATAATACGATTAAAATAGAAAATATCAAGGTTCCAATCCGAAACTAATAAAATAGTATGAAAAAAATAATAACGAATATCCCAACATTTCCCAATAGATCTGGAGTCACGAGTCTAGAGCCTCTAAATGTAACAGAGTATTATATTCATAGTAATAAAGAAAGTCTAGATAGGAAAGACAAATGCAATAAAGGGAGAGGTCGGTCCTGCGGACGTCAGGCAGCTACCTCAACAACTCCTAAACCGAAAATCCAAGAAGACAGCAAACAGCTCACTATAGTCTCCGGAGCACCTGAACTGCACACATGGTGTCAGGAGTAAAGTGAGCACTTCCAACTCAGTGAGTAATAAACATATATAATGGCTGAAAGTAAGAAATCCCGAAATATTACATATAAAGCTATAATCAACGATCAGCACGTTAAACGATAGAATAACAGCAAACAATGACAATTAGGCCAACAATATAAAATGCATGAATGCAATGCAATGCACATGACCGCTCGGCGCGCAGACCCGATCCATTTGGGTACCCGCGCTCACTGTTGGGGTTCAGACTCCGGAGGCTCCTACAGCCCAAGCGCAATATCATAGTAACATTCGATGCGGTGTGCAGCCCGATCCACACTCAGTCCAGATATATATATGCATGCAAGCCACTCGGGCACAGTCAAAGGTTTCATCTTTTAGTTTCAATTATTAGGAGTTATAGAGCTATGTGTTTAAGCTTCATTTATTTACTAAACATTTCAAAACAGTGTCTAAGTCAGGACTGATATTATGAAATATGCTAAGCATCATGGAACATTGATAAGGATCCCTGAAGGATGCAAATGATAGGCACAAAGCCTCAACATATTCATAAATCCAAGTAGGATGATTACCTAAAATTCCTAGTCAAGAACACAGTACGAACATCAATCGGAACGGACGGGTCACAATCCCCAGTCACAATCGACCCCGCACTCGTCATAGAGTACGTTGCCTCGCCTCAATATAGCGTCACAATGTGATATAACCGGGGTTTCAAACCCTCAGGTCATCATCTACATCTATTACTCACCTAAAGCCGGCCACAAGTCTAGCTCGCTATGCCTTTGCTTTTGAATCAACCTCTTCGCACGCCGAATCTGATAAAACCACAACGAATACGTTACAATAGGCTAAAGAACATAACCAATCGAAAGACTCGAAAAATACTAAAATTCACGAAGTTGGCAAAATCCGAGCCCCGGGCCACTTCTTGAAAAAATTACGAAATTACATCACCGGATTCCTCGTCTCTCCACGAGTCCGTACATATAAATTTACCAAAATCGGAGCTCGTTCGACCCTCCAAATTCTTTTTACATCACAGCTTTCCAAGCCCTAGCTTGACCTGTTTTTGATGAAATTCTACTGATTTCTATGATAAATTTACCATAAACTCGAGTAACTAAGCCAAGGAACTTACCTCCACTCGATTCTCAGTCAAAACCCTCAATCCTCGCCCAAAGCTCTCCAAGTCGCTTAAAATGGTAGAAACTACCTCTTGCTCGCGGAGGAAATATAATATTAAAACCCCTCTGCCAACAGCCCTTTTCGCTTCTGCGGTCCCGCTACCGCTTATGCGGGACCGCTTATGCGGCCAAATTTCCGCTTATTCGATCTTCACTTAAAAATCCGGACTTCGCTTATGCGGCTCAAACTCCGCTTCTGCGGTTCCCTCAAGTCCGCTTCTGCAGTACAGAATCCGCTTATGCGGACCCGCTGGTGCGAGCCATCTTCCGCTTTTGCGAAATTTCCCTAGCCGTCCAACGATCGCTTCTGCGACCATATACCCGCTTCTGCGGTCCATTTCCACAGAAGCGGGAACACCAGATGACAACAACAATCTGACCTGCAATACACCTCAAAACTCTCGTTAACCACCCAATTCATCCCGAGGCCCCCGGACCTCAACCAAAAACACCCATACATCCTAACACCTCATTCAAACTTGTTCTCATCCTCAAAACACATCAAACAACGCTAAAAACCATCAAATCACATCGAATTCAAGCCTAAGTTTCTTAAAAACTTCCGAATTACGCATTCGATCAAAAACCCGACCAAAACACCTCCGAATTCTAAAATTTTCACACATGTCCAAAATCACCTAACGGACTACTTGCAACTCTCGAATTCCATTAACCTTCGGATCAAAATCTCAACTATCCACCGG